CTGCATCTCCACAGCTTCCACGGTGTTGCTGATATTCCTGGTCTGATGGCTCTGCTCTGAGGATCAAGGGCAGAGGATATGTGCTCCTGGCTCACCCTTTTTCCATGTCCTATTCTCTCTCATGTTGGTGAATGAAAAGTGAGCAAATGACCGAGCATCTGTGTTAAAGTGGGTGCTTCCTGTATCATAGCTTCTAAACTTCTTTCTAATTACAGGGAATTCTCTGTGTCTGCAACTGCTCAAAATTCATACTTGAAGTACAGAGATTTTTTTAGATAAACTCTTTCTATATGCAGTTCTTGTATGGGCACACAGGAGGGAAGGCCACCGTTCCTTTGTCCACACTCTTTAGGATGCTACGCATAGATGAAATTGTATGGTTCTCCCTGGTTTTGAGCAGCAGAAGCTCATCTTCCAGGTTTGGTGTCACCTACGCAAACCACCTTCTTTTGGTATCAAATGTCCATGCTGGGCAGCAGCCACCCAGGGTTTTCCCACTTGACTTTGCATTGCCCATTCTGTGTGGGCTACCCTGTCTAATCTATTATCTCATGTAATGCTTTCAGCTATCTGGTTAGTCCCATTTTTATATGACAAAAATGAGACTAGAGTTATAAAGAAACTTGCCATGTCACTTTGACACCGGAAACTGGAGTCATGAACCTAGCCCATTTCCCCACAACAATCTCCTTTTGAAACCACTTTTTAAAGTCTTGTGTAAATGAAGTAAACCATGGAGTCATTTCATTTTGGCAAGGTTGTACCAGTGGCGTGACCACATTCTGGTCCCCATATAACTGGGCACCTGCTGGTCTCTGCTCTTGCCCACCAAGAAGTCAGAGGCAGAATAGAGTCCTAGGAACCTAAACTTACCATTGCCCTTTTCCTTAGCGTGTGCGGTGGCTGCTGCAGCAGTACACATGGTGCTCCCCAGGCAGATGGTGGCTTATGGAGCTGGCGGATCATCTCTGTCACTCGTAGGATGACTGATGACCCAAGAACTTGCTGAAGAGTAAGGAACATAACATCTTAAGAATCTAGGGCTCCAATGTGTATTGGACCCATTATGTTCTTCCACTTCCCCTTTAACAAACTTAATTCTGCAAAAACACATATACTGGACATGGGATAGTAAGCCAAGATTGTCAAATATTAACTAATATTATTTTTCATTGATTTAAGGAGCCAGGAAGAGAGGCTGCCAGTCTCTACACCCCTGCCAGCTTCATAGTCTCATCTCCAGGTTTAGAGAGAGCAGTGAACTGCCCATGGGCCAATTTGTTTCCAAGGGGAGTCCCACTCATGCAGAGGGAGGTAATTAGGCCTTCCCCGAGCATCCCTAGAGGTGCTTTTAAAAACTTTGCTTTGGCAACAGAGACCAGAAACTGTTCAGACTGGAAACCATCTGAGCCGCTTGTAATGTGGCATGTTGAGTTAAAGCCAAGTTAATATTTAGGGGATTAAATAACTCTGACAAAGATTTCTGTAAAATTACCTCTGAAGTTAAAAGTGACAAACGGAAAAGAAATAACAGCCCCCTGCATGAGCCCAACCCCCTACACACACACACACACACACACACACACACACACACACACACACACACACACGAAAACACACCCAGGATTACTGGCTCTGCCAGCACTTCTGCATTTGTGAAGCATTTCCTCACTCCAGAAGGAAACCAGAGTTTATCTCCAGAAAAGGTCTTTGTTTTTGAACAAATTGTCCCTTATCTTTTTATACTAAACTTAAAAGACAGGAGAAGATAAGGAACAGTGAATGTTTAATATAAACTTGAATGTGTATCTACCGCTGCCTGACCTTCCAACCTATCAGAACCAAAACTTATCTTAATTCCCTGGCAGCAAAGCCTTGTGACAAGCCCAGGTGGACTGAAGGCCAGCGACAAGGAGTTCTCCACCTCGAGGCTGTGGCTACCTTGGTGACTCTTCATTGCTGCCCCTGTCCCCTGATTCCTGTATTAGACAAATCCCCAGATCATGAGAACAAAAAAGATTGTATATAAGAGAAGGTCTTTGCGGTGAGGAATCTACTCATCAGCAGCTCCTGTCAGCCTCCTGTCTAGAGACCATTGCTCTGGCCCAGACATTATGTTATTGCTTCTTCACTCTTCTTACTCGGCCCTTTGCAAATCCCTCATTTTATTCCCACTCTTGCTCCTTGCTTTCCTCCACATTTGAAACTTACCAAATGAGACCATTCCCTGTCCCCACTGCCCTCTGTGGGTCAGGAGAAAGGGCCAGTGGCTCTTGGGCAGCTGGTAGACCTCCGGAGGCTCTGGGGTGAGGTGGGGGTAGGTAGCAGGCTGGCTTCAGAAACCAAGGTGGCTGCAATTCATTTATTCCACAAACCCTTCAGGCACCTGTGCAGGCCAAGCACTGTGCAGACGCAGGGAAGCAAGGATGAGCTGTACTGTTCCCTGGCTGCTGGACAGCAGGGATTTACTCCAGAGTACGGTTGCCAGACTTACCAATAAAAACACAGGATACCCGTTCTCCAGGGAACATCAGTGCCCTCCAGGACATGGACTATTGATCTGCCCGTGTCTATGCCACTGATGTTTTCTCTATATAGTAACATAAAGCAATCAGGGCAGATAAAGCTGCCAAAGGAATAATAATAATAATAACAATAATTAATAATAATAATAAAACCAATTTTTTTGAGCAGCCTGTTATGTAAAGTGCTTCCCACTGGTTTGTCTTTTCCTTTTCCCAATTATCCTGAGTTCAGTACAGTTATTATCCCCATTTTATAGATGGGGAAATTAATGTAAAGAGTACAGCAAATAAAAGAAAGATCTCCACAAGTAAGACATTTTATTCAAAACAAAATAAGAAACTGATCCAATAAAATTATCTAGGGAGATTTACTGTATCATATGAAGTTTGAAGTTTTTTTGGAAGAAGAAGCTGTTATTTTCACTGTTGCTATCATCCAGAGCTTTCTGTAAAAGAAAAAAACAAGTAAATTCATGAGAAATTATTCCTCTAACAACTCATTTGTTTTGAGATTTAAAAACCTGTGCAATGCTCAGTATCTGATATGTACATGTTGAGGTGTACTTTGTGCATTAAAAGTGTTTAAGTTTTAATAATCCCAACTATAAAAAGTTCAAATTTCAAGGTATCTTTCATTTTTGAAATGTGATTAGGTTCCAAGGAGCCAGAGAAATACTTTAGTTTGATGACTGTACATGGACTAACATGGATAAAAATAAATATCCCCAAATTTCTCATCTTGAGAGGCTTCCCTGGCTCTTTTCAAATGAACCTGGTAATCATCATGGTTTGTAAAAGACCATCCAGTGGTCTGTGAATTATCTTGGTTTCATTTGTAACAGCAGTAAAAGTTCAGCTTTTAGAATCTTGTAGCCAGAAGAGGTCAAACCCTCCTACCTGTTTGTAGGCTGCCAGTGTCATGTACATGTCAGAAAGGGAAGCATGTTCATGATTGGCCTTTATCCCCGTGTACTGACTCCTGAAGTCTACTCATGTATATTTCAGTCATGCATGGTATGGGTAATACATTTTGTGTGATGTATACAAAACCATAGGAAGGCTATACAAATTTTATAAAGTATATTTAAATTTTCTCAGCAATAACTTATTAGGGATGATCTACTCTCCTCCCCAGCTTTCACCATCACTAGCCATCCCTGGGCTGCACACTAACAGGGGTATTCTAACCACTGAGGACCCAGAACCACGAACCTCCCTCAAGGCCAGGACCCCTCTCTGGACCAGCCAGGAAAGCTGGAGGATCCCAGCCCACCAACTAGCCTTCACCAGTGCCCACCATAGACATGGCCCCAGAATGTGTGGGCTGCAACTAAAAAAACCTGTCACAGCCCTTCTGTGCTGCTTTTACCTATAAGGCAGTGCCATTTTTTTTAAAATGTGCTTTCCCATCCTTACCTAAGTTATTTTTCAGGTTTACTTTGGCCCTTGGAAAAATAGTCATGTGTTCAAAAAAGCCAGGATTTTTCTGTAAGGTTGAAGTCCTTTTCCCCAACCTCTAGGAAAAATGCTAAAGTGAGCCACGTAAATACATACACACAAATGAACAGGATCATTACACCAACTTGGTGAATAGATTTCTAGGAATTAATGGCCCTTTTGTTTGTAAGGAAATAATTAGTACTAACCCAATATGATGTGATTGATAGTGACTGTTCAATAAAAATTAAAGTAGATCTAAGTTGGTTCAATATCAGGAGGCAGGTAAGGAAAGACAAAAGCTCACTGCTTCTCTGTGAGCATTCAGAGCCTCAGGAGCATCAGCAAGCTCTTTCTGCTGCTTATCTGTAGGCTCTTATTCTAAGGCACTGTGTTACCCCTTAGAGGGGTTCCAAAGCTATTCCACAAATAGTCCCTGCCTTAAAGGATACAATTTTAATGACCCATGGAGTGTGCTGTAGATTCTGCTATGAAAGGTATTTGGAACTATTAATATCACTCATGGAAAACTTCTTGCCTCTGATATATTGAAATTTCAAAAGATTTTTCTTGCTCCATAAAATGAAAGAGTCACTCTGACTTCCATAAAATTAACAAAACTATGAGTTTGCACAGTCCATTAGAACAGTTCTCATTCTATCAATTTCAGTACAAACAGATTAGTGCATGTAAATTTTCTAGAAAATGTCTAGCATGAATTCACATGAAAACCATGTTTTTGGATAGTTAGATAAGAATACAGTAGATAACCATAAAAACTTTCTTATTCAAAAAATATGTCTAATACAAAGTGGACGTAAACATCAATGTTTCCAAACTTCTGGCAAAATAAGCAATAGAAGCAATTCCAAAGACCTATGTCCATAGTAGTTACTCAATAAGTATTTGTTAAATGATTCATAATAAATGTATAAGGTAAAGTTTTCAGTTTTGAATAAGAGGTGGTTGAGTAGAGAGTAATCCCATTTGAAGGGTATATGTGGCCAGCACGTAATATAATGAATTCTGTTCCTTTAGGAGAAAAACCAGCACTGAAATGGAGTTCCCTGAGAGGCTGGAAGAAACCAAGCTTACTGTAACTGAAAATGAAGACCATGAAAAGCTCCAAGTTAAAATACAGGCTTTTGAAGACAAAATAAATGCTGAAAGCAATACTCCTGGTTCTGTCCGAAGATACAGTTTGGGCCAAATTTCAAAGGATGAAAGAAAGGACATCAGATTTAACAGGTATAAATTCTGCTTGGCTGTTTTCTTCAAAGTATGTGCTTCATGTTGGCTATTACTTTATTTTCACACTCTTATGGGTAATTTTTAAATATCATCTACATAATGCTGCCCAAAGAGCCATCTTTTCATGAATGAAATATCATCTACAGTGCTTTCATTATCCAAAGAAGCTTACTATAGTAAAAAGAGAATACAAATGGAAAACAAACCTACGGTTTTTTGTGTTTTTCTAATGCTTGTTAAATACAGATATGCTAAAAGTGAGAATGACTATCAGAAGCTTCTCTTGATTTCTGGTGAAAAAGTAGATGCAGAAGTAGGAAAAAAAACATATAAACATGCAAGGCCACTGTTCTTCAGCCATTTATGCCATGAAATTGATTTTTAAATCTTTGTTTTCAGAGGTCCCCTAAATCTTCAAAGGATTGACTTATTACATAATTTGTTACTGTTGTGTATTTCTCGAATCTGCTAAGAGCAGCAATTGTGAGGTCCAGCTCTGGAGGGAAGTAACTTTTGCCCCAGTGTTATAGTTCTTTCCCTTCCTTGCTGGTGGATGCTAGCCCCACTGCTTGACTTGCTGTGCGTTCCCTCGGTTTGTGTTGCAGGTCCAGGAGTTTGGCTTTGCACGCTGTGCTAGCAAAGAGCATGAGCTCAGATGATGGGGAAGCTGTAGAGAGTGGAGCTGCTCCAACCAGCATCTCTCTTTCAGCACTAGACCCCCTTGGCCAAGGCAACAACAAGCCACCCTTAAAGGCAGACATTGATGGATCACAGCTGCGAAATTCTTTAGTTCCACACGCAAGCCTTATGCATATAGAATCAGCAAATTTGCCAGAAACAGTTAAAGAAAACTGCCATGAAGAAACTCCAGAGCCAACCACAAGTCCCGCGGAATACCAAGATAAGCTCTACTTGCACTTAAAGGAAAACTTTAGTAAAGTGAAAGCATACGCGGTGGAAATTGGAAAGAAGATTCCAGTCCCTGATCAGTGTACTATTGAAAGTAAGTGCTCTGAACTCCCTAAACCTGAAAATTTTCAGGCATTGCTGAAAAAAAGAAAAAAAATAGCTCAAATATATAAATTGCCATACCCTTTTCTGGTCTTGGCAAAATAGATCATTTTCAAAACAACATTACATTATTTTCATTGCTTTTCTTCTTATTATTAGATTAATTACCTTTTTGATTCCCATTTGAATCCTTAGGTGAGTCAACTGAAATCAACATTGACCATTATATTTAAGAAAGATAATTCATTCATTGTCTCACTGAGAACCACGACCCAAGAGCAGCCCATCAGTGTGATCTGATAAACTGCTCTAAGGCCCCTTTGTTTAGAGACATCCTAAATACTTTTTCTACAGCAGAGGATATGTGTGGGAAAGGGGTTACTTTTTACCAATACATCAAGTGATATGGCATGGATACCACTTAGGAGGTAACATCTAGTTAATGTCATAAAAGATCATGCTATATACACTCTGATGCTGGCCATGTGTGTGAGAGGAAGCAAGGATGAGGGTCTCGGTAAGTGAATTACTTCATCTTCCTTTGGAGATGGAGAGAGCATAGGTAACATCACCTTATCAGTGCCGACTAGAAAATTCCTGAATTACTACATTTCAGGGAGAGGTTGAAACTACAATTAGGTTAAGGTATTAAGCCCCAGTTTGGTGACTTGGCTTAGCAGAAGTGACCCCACTTCAGGCCTGTATCTTTCTACCAGGTGTACCTCAGTTCATCAGTGCTGATTTTTTTCAAACCTCAACATATATTGTTTCTAATTCCCTGTCCCTAGTGTTCAAGAAAATACTGGAAAGGGTCTCTGGCCCCCATAACAAGCTCTGAGATAGGGGTTCAGCCAGAGGCATTTTTCATCCACATAACTATGCACAGAAGCCATTGCAGCATTGAGCTCCAAGAGATTTTCCCCTCCATTCACTCAACAGCACTTAGGAAGCAGCTACTGTATACTAGACACTGGTGCTAAAGATTCAGCTTTGTGTGAGATTCAGCTGTGACCCAGACACAATCTCTGGCCTATTGGAGATTATATAGAAAGCAGAGAGTGAAACCACAGCCAGGAGGTGATACAGGTCAGGAGCCAGTGAGAGTGTAAACCAGTGGGGGAAACTGAAGACCAAGTCAAGGATGTCAGGGACAGGGCAGGACTTCCCTTGGGTGCACAATTTAAGGAGGTGCCAAAAAACTCGGTAAAATTTTAAGTTAAGTAAAAATTCAAGACAGATTCAGTAACAATGTTTTGCCTAGCCATATTAAACTGAGAGCAAAAGGGAAAAGCCATAGCATAGATCATGTCTTTATTTACAATGTTGATATTTTATTCATCATGGACTTTTTGTATTAATTTTAATTTTTAAAAATATTTATCTTGACTATTAAATTTTCTGGTGCTCAATTAAATTTTATGCCCTAGTGCTGCACTTGGGAACATAATAGGTTAGAGAGACCAGGTATTAAATTGGCAGAGTGTCTGCGACAGGCTCGCCCTTCTGGTACTGGGTTGAATAAGTCTTGATGGCTTGAAGGCATTGTCTAGCTAATTAGATCTTTCCTACAGTCATTCCTAGGCAGCTGTTCTGTGCTTCCCTTGAGATTTAGATGAAGGTCCTAGCCCTCGTATGGGATATGACATATCTTTACAGGCTACACCCTCATAGAAAAGCCAGGCAGCCAGCCTGTCTTCCAGAAAGAAACACAGCCAAAGGATAGTGAATCTAATTCATGTTCACCTACCCACTGATTATCATCCCCCTTAGTGGATGATACTAGGAGGGTCCCATTTTCCATACTCTACTTTCTATCCCTTCTCTCACTCCAAATCAAAGGAAAGAATGTATTCACATGCTAACAAAGGGAAAAGGAGGTTCAAGTATTTGAACTGAAATGACAAATATTATTTAGCATGTCTGTAGACTCTAACACTTGCAAAATGTTTACATTAATTTATTAAGTAGCTTTCTTAAAACTTTTCCTAAATGTTAACAAAAAATATGTCACTGCTCATATTTAATCTAAGTTGGATAATTATGTATACCAGGATTTGGGAATAGTTAAAGTCAATAAAATGCAATTAACACCAACTCTTTGCAATTTCCCATTTCACTAATATTCTACGTGTTTAATGTGCAGGGTAGAGAATTTAATGTAAGTGAATTTCCCAGTTTGACAGAGGAATTCTGTAGCAAATATAAAGTTAGTCACGTTTCCATATGCTAGAATAATCTTGTTTTGGGTTTTGGTTTTTTTATGTTTAGCTTACAGCATGCTATATGGTGAGTTTTAATCTTGTGAAAATGTGAAGTCCTGGAGTTACTTTGAGCATCTAGTTGTCAAAAACACATGATACTCCTTATTGCCTTGAATTATTTGGGGATTTTGAGAGTTAACTAGATGACCTGGGGTTTTTCAAAACTACTGAATGAATCCATCATCTTTACTTTAAAAAAAGTGTGGTGGGGGGAAGGGGTGGGGATTGACATGTTCTTTTGATATTTTCTCCCAGGAATGACCTACAGCTGAGTATGCATTTTTTTTAAGTTGACACTTAGGAATTCATTCAAACTTTTGCAATTTCCTGCAAGTTCCTGGGAAATTCCTGCATAGAGACATGAGTAAGGGATTGAAGATTTATATGACTCATTGTAAATACATCTACCAAAAAAGGACTTGTGCTGACTACAGAGGACATGTTGTTACTATTTTAGAGATTGTGCAAACCATTCAGCAAAATGCCAGCAGTCATTTGGCTGACACAATTTTGCTTGTTGTCATAAGATTACTCAGCTCTACAATAGCATATGTCTTCCCTTAAGGATGTGTTGAAGAAAGATTTGAGCTTAGAAATTATGTTTCTAAGAGACATTTTTGGTCTTTCTTGATGAGTTATGCAAAGTAGTCCAGAAACAACAGGAAGAAGCATAAAAAGTACTTCCGCAACATTAAATAGTTTAAAAGACAAATTGCCAGCAGGAAGCAACAAAAAAGTGTGAAGCAACAAAAAAGTGGTTTAAACTGATGTTACAAAATCCATACTGTAAGAACATGACAAAACAACCCTTTAAAGAAGCTCTTGTGTATTGGTTTGAATCGTCTGAAAGAACTGACATTTGACTTCCTCGTTTTGACGTACAAAAACATCATTCATCACTATCACGTGGTTCAACCTAAAACTTCAGTAATAAACTCTGCTGAAAGACCAGGTGCCTCACTAGTCACAGTAGAGTAGAATTCAGTATGATGTGAATCAAGGTCATAAATAGTCTTCTATCCCCAGTCAGCCATATTATTATTGCATGATATTGATCACCTTGGGGGCAGACAATGGAGTAAAAGACATCAGCACAAATCTATCATCACATCTGGAAAAACTGTCAAAGCCCAGGACTTACTGAGGTTGAACGGCAGTGTCATTCTAGGTTTGAAAGAGCTTGTTATTCCCAAGTCAGTAATTCTCTCATGGGCCTTAGAGGGCCTCTGGCACAGGTACAGGCATTTGTCAGCCATTGAAAGTCACATATTCTTAGGCAAAGTGATGGTCTAATATCGCTACCTGATTGTATTTATGTACAAGACAGAAAGAATTTACTCCATCTGCCAAAGGGCATTTAAAAAAATCTGAATCACTGTTATTCATTAATGTGAACAAACTGATTAAAGGTTAAAAAAACAAAAACTCATGATAATGAAATAAATCCTTGAAAATCTGGCTCCTCAGTGGGGTTCTGTAAAGAATGCTATAAAAGCTTACAAAACCCATCAATGCTGCTTTGGTTTGCTTTGAAGTATTTTCTGATTGGATGAAAATACATCCCATCTGTACAGCATATCAGCAAGCCTGACTTGCAGAAAGTTAATTTTAAAGCTAGTAATGTCACCCTCTTTCTAGTAGATGCACTAGAGTTGATTTTTCTTGACCTGAACAGATATAAGAACACACAAAAATAAAATAAAGTTCATTGTCAATATCAAGAAGCAGGTGCTATTTTCATAATTAATTACAAAGAAAGTTTCCTTATTGAAATTCTACATGCAATCAAGTCCAACTTCATACTGGGATGACGGAGGGGGCAAAGCCGATCCTTACCAGTCTTTACCTCTTTCTCTTCAGTTGATCCCATCTGGGGGGTGATGGTAACACTATCCACTTAATGGTTCTAGGGGAGGTTTCATTATCCGTGGGGAGAGTTTTAAAGCTTGGAAGCATAAAAAAATCCTGAAGTTTTTTCACTCAATCTGAGAAGAAAAGGAAGAAGTGAATGTTTAGGAGCAGGAGTTTGCTGTAGCATATTTCTTAAATATATTCTTCTAGATGTATTATTTTGAAGTAGAAGGTTATATGTCATTATGCTTTTATATCTATAGTAAGTGTTTTTATCTCTTTTTAGGGAAGCTCATATTCCGATTTATTATCAGTCATCCATTATTGTTGTTTGGGGGCTCCCTTTACCCCTAACAGTGCGGCATGACGTGGTCCTCAGCCACCAGTGGTCCCCAGCAGAAGAGTACGTTCTAATACTGTTTGTCACAGACCAAATTTTGGGAAAGTGAATGTTATTTTCCCATTTATTTCCATTATGAAACTGGCAGCATAGGTCGTGTAGGAGAAAAAAAAAAAACAGCCCTTGGATATCATCAAACCTCATTTAAGAACTGAGCAGATCTGTATTTCTGAGCTCTGTTGGTGATGAAGAGCTGGTAGCCAGGAAACAGAAAAGAGATAACATGGCTGAGTAAAGGGTTTTGCTATAACTGAGAAGAAGTCAAGGTTAAGGTATTAAGCCCCAGTTTGGTGACTTGGCTTAGCAGAAGTGACCCCACTTCAGGCCTGTATCTTTCTACCAGGTGTACCTCAGTTCATCAGTGCTGATTTTTTTCAAACCTCAACATATATTGTTTCTAATTCCCTGTCCCTAGTGTTCAAGAAAATACTGGAAAGGGTCTCTGGCCCCCATAACAAGCTCTGAGATAGGGGTTCAGCC